TTGATTCGATGTTTGGGTTCAGAAACTCAAAATAACAATGAGTCTCTAAACTCGCTGTTATGGTCTTTCGCTCCAAAGCATATCCATTCCGGGTCTCAGATCATTGAAATTGCAATATTTATTGCTGTGTGTATTTTTAATGAAGGATTTATACAGATATTGAAGATGATGACGATTATGGGAGTGAAAAGGGTCCAGAAGCGCATGCATTTGCTATCAGACGAGACAACTGTCGGATTGACCGCTCCGAGATACGAGCATCCAGCCATCAAAGGAGGCCATAACTGCTCCAATAGAAAACAGAGACTCCGAAAATAGTTTTTTTCAAGTCGAGGAAGGTCCAATGTATGCAGCAGAAATGGCAAATTGAATAAATATAAGTTGAAAATATAATTTTATGACTTAGACAGCAGAACATTTACTTGAAACTTTGAACGCATTTTACTCAGAACTTTTTTTTGAATCTGATACCCACGATTTCTCAGGTTCTGCTAAACCGATTTACTTGAAATTTTAAGAGATTCTTCTTTAGGAACTTGGCTGTGTCCGAAACTACGGCCATTCCCAAATTATAGTTTTTACTATTTTTAAAAAATCGAAGAATGCTCAAAAAAGTGGTACAAAAATGGTTTTTTTCTTTAGGCCTTCGTCATTTTGTAAAAAATATATCTAAAACTTTTCCGTAGTTCCGGACATAGTGACATAATTGTTGATTGATAATCTTTTTTTATTTTTTGATTTCAGTTGCTTGGAGAGTTAAAATCGTGTGTATGGTCATGCACCATATTTGTGGGATGTCCCACTCCATCACCTGATAACTAACGGAATTTTAAATTTTTTTGTATGCCTCTAATGTGAATAAATAATGCATGAAAAATTGATAATAAAAATATTGCTTGCTTTTATTTACAGCATTTCAAAAATTGCCTAAAATTCATGTCTCTAGACCAGAATACCCCCTAAGTATAGGAAAAGCATCTGTTTAATAAGACGACGAGGCATTTGGACTGGTCCAATGCATAATGTGTTAGACGAGCTTATATGCCAAGATAAGGACATTGAAACGTAAATTCAATTTTTTGTAGCATTTAAATGGTTCCAGTTATTCCAAGATTAAACTAAACATATCTTAACGTTAACTGATATGATATCCAGCTCAATCACTTTTGTAGTTTCTCAAATAAGTTTTCGACGGCAAATCAGGTCTGCAAAAATGCAATAGAACTTAGCTTTCAAGCCATTAAAAAATTTTTGCTCTATCTTCATTATTAGATAACAAAAAATGCATTAACTAAGATAGTAACCGACGGTTTTCGTATGACAGAAAATGCCTCCTCTAATAGTGTTTTGAGTGGTTACCAAAAACAATTATTCAAATAATATCAGTTTCAATGTTCACGATTACTTAAAATATACTGATATTGTTGATAATAAATTGAAGAGTAAATTTTCACTCATAAAAACCATTTGTCACATTGGGTATTCATTGGTTTTCCATTGACCAATGAACTCGCAGACGAATTTGACCGATATCTTATTGGCCAAAACAAAGTGCTCCTGATTTGGGTAAATTTACAAATTTAGCAGAAATTTGAAAAGCGCCCAAAAACACTAACAGTGGAATTTTTAATTTGCCGTGCAAATTTGAGTAGATTGGTATGTAAGTTCCATCGAATTTTATTTAAATATTTCAGAAAATTGGTTGCTGAATTATTATAATTAAGTACTTATATGCTTGTTATAAAATTTATAATTTATAATTTTAATCTACCGCTAATTTTTTTTGAAAAAGAAATGCAGTTGATATAATCATGGGAGATGGTAAATTTGTGCTTTTGTGCATGGCATAGGTAAATAAGTTGTATCATTTATTGAAAAGTAAGACCTGTATCTGTACTTGAAATTGATCTGAAAGAATAAACTTTCGTAAAGCATAATTGTATTTTTAGTCATTCTCTCATTAACAGACATTTTCATTTTTTTTGCAAATTTATTCAATAAATACATGGCTTAGTGATTTGACAATTTAAAATATTGAGTTATTTATACAAACGTCCTCATTTCACCACAGAAATATGAAAAGTTTAAAAAAGGGAATGTGTACTAATGAGGAGTCTTAATTTATAAAATCAGTCCTTACCACTAAAAATTTTGGAACTTCTCAAAATATTCATAGTGTTTTATTTTATTTAAAACCAGAGTCAAATTTAACCAGCCCTGTTGTAAAACGTTGACTTCAAAATTGAAATGAAAAGAGTATAATGCTGATATTTATCCTTGTTTTCACATTGCGAAATTCGTTCTTAGATTTTCTAAACAGTTCCAAATCTTTCAACATTTAATTACGCGCAACAGCAGTTATTCAGTTAAACAAGCAATTATAAAATAATCATTATTCTCTTGGCTTATTTCTAAGAAAGACTTTGGCACAGATTACTTTCACGATATTTCAAAACATAAACAAATGATTAGCTTGAACTAAAAAAATGGAAGTAGAAAATTTAAAAGCTAATTACAATCAATGACGAAATCATTATATTGCGTCACTATTATTAGCAGTAATTGAAAGTAATTTGTGGAAGGCAACCGACATTGAATAGAAGAAGGTTTTGCAAGTTGTAAAAAAAGATAAATATGAAAAGCGTTTTTCCTATTACAAAATTTTAATTTCACAAAAGTTGTCTAGGACTTATTTTAAATATTCCGTCCTTTTCATTTCATTTTCATTTAACCTCACTAGGTAATTAACCGTATTTATTACATTGTAGACCTTAAACGTTTTTTAAATTATATATTTTAATTAAATCATTACAATTGCATTGCGATCGAATAAGGAAATCCGCTCGTGTAATCCGTGCTTAATGCTTAATCTAATATTAAGTTGGACAACATTACTGATGCGTTACTGGCTTTTTTACCTCAAGTTGAAACTATTCATTAAGCTTCTTAGAATTCCGACCAAATTAGAGCATTGGTAAAGTATATTAAATGTAATTCAATCTTTATCTCTTGATGTCTAAGATTAAAAATCAGACAAATGACAACTTAGCTCTTGCGGTCTGTTTGACGTTTGCAAAATCTTCAGAGGCTGATAAATTGAAAGCTTTAAAAAGTGGCCGTTTTCATATTTTAAATGCAAATTTCATGCTCTTAAACTATTACAACCAATAGAATAATTGATTTAATACATACCCTATGATTAACAAAGTTCAAGATTCATTTGTAGATAGGGTTAATATCTGCATAATATTTGATTGGCTAAGCAAGGCAGTACTTAGGTATTTCAGAAATCTGGAAAAATATGATCAACATGTAAAATAATAGAATGACATTTTAATTTTAATTAGCATAATCGTCATATTTTTTTGAGTTAATTACGACTTAATTCAAAAAGGTATTTTCAAATCCAATACTTGTAGTTCTTATTCTTAAATAATTGTTATAACTAGCCCAATACCTGCTTCCTGATATGATTTAATTTTTTGATAGAAAATTATTTTCATTTTTACTGAAAAAGGTAATAATTATCATATCTCGTCGCTTACGGGACTGATTTTGAATTTTAAAAGAGGTTTTGGAGCATGGCGCCAATATCTAAAGCTTAGTAAAATCAATGTTTTTTAAAGAATTTCAATTCTGTAGTGCAAAATGAAAATATTTTAAATGATGTTCATTATTCGAATGAAATTTTAATAAATAGAGGTCTTTGGACTTAAATATATTTTTTCATTGGTCTAATGAAAATGTCGATCAAATTTAAGGCGTTTACGAAATAGTTTAACCGTCTTCAATATCTTGTATATCTAGCCATTTACTATAAATATTTAAAGACAAATCCTAATATTTTTCATCTTTCATATAATACAAGCCCATCTTTAGGAAATCCATAAGTTTCTTTTTTAAAGGAAATTGAATATGATTGGTTGGAATTTAATCATTTCAAAAATACACTTCACTAACACCAGTTTTAATAGTACCTATTTTATTGGACAATTATATGTATTGTTTAGAGAATTTAAAGAGAAGTAAGAATTACTACCACCAACGAAACACATGATTAAATACAAGTCTATGTCCACTTTCTCCATATATGAGAAGAAGGAAATTATTGACTAAAGTATTCTGGAACTTATAAAATCCATTGAATTCAGATTTTATAGCCCCATAAAATGAAAAGCCTGTTACATTTTTCACATACTACAATTCATATTCCTATGAGCATAAAAGGCATTGTACTCTTAGTCATTGAAAACGTTTCTTCTTCAAAAATACAATGGCAGGGAACAACCAACAAATCATCCACCTCCAGCTCTATAGGACATGCTAAAAAAACAACGAATTCAGTTAAAGCGAGAGCCAAAATAAACCATTACATATGTTTGTTCATTTGCGTATTTAATGATGCGGCTGACCGGTGGTGGAAACAGCAATTAAAGTACGCACAAGGAGTCCTTTTTATGAATGACCTAAAACTAAGTTGGCGGAGGTCAGTTGCTTGCAAAAAATGTAAGTAGATGCTTACGACATGTGTGTTCAGGCATCAAGTGTCTTTACCACCAAACTGAACAAAATTCGTCGCGTGATTCAAATTTAACCACGCTGACCAATGTAGAACCCTAAATTAGAAGGCATATTTATGAGTTGATAATAAAGGACTTAGCTATTCAAATTATCAGTATAATTTATTTTAAGGAATTTAACATAAATTTTTAATATAGAATAATTTGTTTCAAGTTTTAATTGAATTCATTTGATTAACTTATATATATATATATATATACTTGAATTTCGAAACCTTGATTTTCTTTCCTCAAATTAATTTCACTAGCCTCGAAGACTTACTACATTATGATCAATGAAATTCAATTTTAAAGGTGATAATTTTTTTTTTGAAATTACAAATAATAAAGGCAATTTGAAAAAGCGCGCGGATTATTAACTTATTTATTTTATTATTTCTTTCCTGTAGATTCTAACTTGGTAATGCATTCGTAATTACAATGAACACCTCAGAGACTGGAAACGTTATTGGTGTGCTTATTAAAAAGCATCTTCCTGAAGTGTATGCCCTAAAGCTCTATGCGTCTCCCATTTGGTTTGTGGTGGGCTTTATTGGAAACCTTATAGCCTTCTTTATATGGGTATCTCCACGACAGCGTGGGAAAAACAGTTCCGCCATCTACTTAGCAACCCTTGCGATGACAGACCTTTTGCTTATCGTATGTCTATTTACTGAGTATCTTCGTCTATACCTGTTCATCAGTTCCTTTCTGACTCTTAACGGAATATGTCAACTCTTCCAAGGAATATTCCTTTTCCTTCAGTACTACTCTATTGTCCTGACATTTGGATTTACCCTCGAAAGGTGGATTGCCATTTGCTATCCCTTTAAACGCCAAGAGCTCTGCTCCACCAAGCGTGCTTTAATTGGAGTCTCTGTTCTTGCCATGATTGTTGCTTGTTTCTCAATTTTCTTTGCTTCAACGTGGGAAGTAACAGATGGAGTTTGTAATGTAGCGACAAGATGGCAAATGGATGCTTACTTAACTATTTATCTAAGCACCACTGAGTGTATATTCTCCCTGATTATTCCAATTGCAACTCTTGTACTCAACTGCCTGGTACTTAGGGAAATTGGACATTTAGTGAAATCTAAAATTCTGGTTAGCAGAGGAAGTTCACATAATTCACAAAGAAATATATCAATGGCTCGAAGATCAAATCAAAATCAAGTGGCTCAACAAAAGAAGCGCCCAACTGGAGATAGGTCCATAGAGGCGTCTACAGAACCACTTGTTCTAGGAGCAAAACACAGCAGTGCTCATGCAAGTGCAAAGGAGCAAGCAAATTTTCAAGCAATAACACTAATGCTTGTTATATTATCATTTTATCTTATCATCTGTACTCTACCGGTGGGAATCGTTTATGTAGTTCAAATGCGGTATGCGAGCGTTAATGTGGAAAATGCTGACAAAGAAGACCCTTTAAGTCCAGAATTGCAGCAATACCTGCGTTTTTTGACAGCCAAGGAGATAATCGACTTCCTCTGCTCCTCACACTATGCTTGTAACTTTATTATTTACGTATTGACTGGTAAGAGTTTTCGTCAACAACTACAGGATACTATTCTATGTCGGTCTCAACAGGGCCGAATTGACATGACTTCAATGCACAACAAAACGGTGTGTGTTCGTGCAAAGAACCAGTTACGTGCAGATGAAAAAAATCTTAAAGATGAAAACAATGAAAATCGTAATCCCAACCATCGAGGATCACAACTTCTCGATCGCAAGGTGAAAAATGAAATTTAGTGTTTTAAATTGTCTGTCTTCCTTACATTTTATTTCTCTTTCGCCTTCTCTATTTCCTAATCTCTCCACCTTATCCCCGTGGGTTTCGATGCAACAAAATCAGATATTTTTATTGAATAAAAGAAGTGAAATTGCTAAAAGAATCAAACGCATGTAAGGCGTAATTTTGATTGGATGTTTGATTGAGTCGACTTGGATAACTCTGGGGCGTTTCTAAAAATAAGGTTGAGTTAAATAATTCTTTCGAATATATTGGTTGCGAAATAAATTGGCATTTTAAATGCACACCCTTGTAGATACTGTAACAAAATATTTTATTGCTCAATAACTAATTATTATATTATGAATTTTATACGTGAACTTTGTAAATAGTTATCCATGAAAAGTAAGGAAGTTAATAAAAATTATAAGGAATCATGTCTGGTAGGTAATAATTGGGGTTAAAGCAACGCAATATTTATGACGCCTGAAAGAATTAATTTCTCTAGTTGAAAATACTTCATTGTGACCCAAATCTTTTTTTAATCATACAACTCACTTGTCTCCATTGTTCATTTTTGCGATTTTTTGTGTAAATAGCAACGGTTAAAGTTTGGGTGTATTTTAAATTTTAGTCAAAATTATGGGTCATTTCGAATGGAAATTCACCCAATTTTGCATCAGATTTTAATGGAGTAATACAATATTTTACCTTTTAAACATTTAGTACGTGGAGCATTCGCAATTTTAAATAGATATTCTTACCAGAAGTAAATTTTATTTTTTTGTTACTATTCGGCAGTCATTTGAAAACGCATTAGTAATAGAAGGCGAATTTAACATGTTAATTCAGAAGAAAATAATTTTAAATATTTGTCTTAATTTCAAAGTTATTAGTGATGAAGTTTGATCTATGGCTGTGACAATGTAAAGTTATTTATCAGTAGAAATAAAAAAATATCATTTTCAAAAACAAGTGATAATCTACAGACCTCACCTTAAAATTCTTGGGTGGTTCCATTCATGTGTCTCTTTGGTACTGCACATTGGTCTTTCTTATAAACAAATATTTCCTTAGCAACCTAAACAATGAATTTTCAAATCATGCATTTTTTAAAAATTTTGTCTCCAAGAAAGCACTTTTATAAACTTTATCAATATATCAACCAGGTAAGATATGTAACTTTGTTTTCATACAAAGTATATCTACTTCAATTAAATGTTTATAATTTTATTAAAACCTTAAATTACCGAAACGGATTAATTTGGCAATGCTTTAATTATGATTGGCTTTCGTTACAGTCTTTAAAGTATTACAACTTTTTTATTATGAAAAATACTCAGATAAAAAGGAGACAACTTTTTAAAAATTGAGAATATATTTTAAGATTCAATTGATACAGATGAGTAGCTTAGTTAAATTGACATTTATTTATTTCAAAACTGATGAACAATATTGAAAAAAATTGAGTGACAAATCTTTATTTCAATTCTTAACATATTGACCATTTATCTGCTTAGCTGAAATAAAGCTAAACCGCATGGGATCACCAGTTGCAGAACTAAATATTTCCTGGGGTCACTTTAAGGTTAACAAAAAATCCCAGCCACTGATCCCTCTGACTCCAATGCTTCCCTAGCACTAAATGGAGGTCATTCAGTCATGTCTTTTATTAAAACCATTAATAGTTCATTCTAATGAATTGAATAGTGATTGGGTCTACAACCATTGTCAAACTTATAAATCGAAATGACTTCGGTAGGCAAAAGAAGGATCATAAAATGAAGCACAGAGAACAGTCCTGGGCTAAATAGCCTAAATTTACGTTTTATAGCCATAGGCATTGTTTTTCATTATTTATGAATTTTATTTAAATATCAATTAGTTATCTATAATGATAGTTCCTGAAATGATATACTTAGCAAGAAAAGAGAAATTAAAAATAAAATTTTCTGAAATTAATATTTCTGCTGAACTGTTTTTTGAAAAGATGAATGCAGATCAAAGCAAATGTTTATTTACCAACTTAGTTTAATCAGAATCAATCTGTTTGGCTTAAAGCATTATAAAAATTTTTAGCTTTACTTCAAATGTGTTAAATTATTTTTGAAATGTTGCGACACTCATGAAACGAAAATTGTGCGATTCTAACTGTAAAACTTTTCCTCGACAGCTTTTAAATGGAATTCTTCTTTTCCAACGGTAAGATTTAAAAAAAATATTTGATATCTGGACAAATATGATCTGTGGAATGGGGAAAAGTACCTTCCGACCATTTACATCACATTGCTTCACTACTAACTAGCTTCTATTCACTAATCACCGTATAACATTTACTTTGAGAAATCGATATCAATTATTAAAAATAAATTAGCACTTAACTTAAGTAAATGTAGAAGAATTTGTGATATTCGCATTTGCCATATTCTGGGAAAGGCCTTGGCGATTTATATTTATACTGGGAAACAATAAACTCCTACCTCATTAATCACCTTGGGATTCACAGGGGAAGATCTCATCCAGAAAATGCCCATTTTTGATTAAAAATCCTACAAAAGGTTATCTGTCAATTTTGACAAGTTTACACAGTATTAGATGAATTAATATCACGAATCAATATTTGCGATTATGTTAGCGCAAGTGGGTCCAACCCAACTCGCTCATAAGCACAAATCTTCGAAATCTGCATTTGATTTCAAAATCTAAAATTAACGACTTATCCCTAACTTTTCATCACAGTTACTTATTTAATTCCGAAACAAATAAAATTGTAGGGGGGGAGGGCCATAGCAAAATTGCCGATTACGGTTCATTTGTTTGAAGAGAAACCCTTGCCTTTGAGAAGTCAGAGAAAGCCAGAAGAAACAACGCCAAATTTGTCTGCACGCAATCAAACGTCTTAAGACATGAATGCGTCTAGGGCAGAGAATGTAATAAAATTATTGAGAAGGACAAGTGGGCTCTAAAGGTCTTGAAATAATTGAGTTGAAAATGTGATTTCGTTGCCAAGAAGGACTCTTAAAGCAATTTCCAGTTAATGGTAAACAGCGTATTGATTGATGCAGTAGAAGAATTAATAAAGCTAATAATCTTATTCAAAATGAGATATGAGAATAGAACTACCAAATATAATATATAGAAAAAATATAAAATTTTAAGCTAAAATTATAAAAATCCCCTATTAAATTGGTAGTTATAGCGTATGAAATGACGAACATTAGATAGAATATTTAGATTATTGAAAAAAGGGAGAAATGTACCTCAAAATCAAAATTTTCTTTACAGAAAAGATTTACCCTGCACTTGCTCTTTCTAATTTTGTTTGCCGGAATTATAGCTGCTGGTCTTAGATTATGCTTGCTAAAACAATTGCAGCCTGGAAAATCTTTTCACCTAAAATCATTAAACTTAGGCAACTTTGGGGGGTGTAGATTTTATTTAAAATGGAAAATAATGATTCAATCTGGGATTATCTATTACGATATTTGCAATTTTTCTAATAGGCAATGGAGAATTATAGGGAATGGCGAAGGGTTATTGCCGATAAAGAAAGATGAAATTTGCCGATTAGAAGTAATTAAGGTATAAATGTTCATGTGGTAAAACTGAATTTCTTGACTTCAAACACAGTTATCAGTTTGCAATTGTTCTAAATGCCATGAGTAAAACTCATTTTGACATTATAAAAATCACAGAAGAATTAAGAAGCTTACAATTTAGCCTAAAATCAATCGCTTAGCCCAAATCCATTTCCTATCTAGTGGTCTTAGAGTGTCTAGTTAAACGACGAATAAATTTCTCTCTCTCCATTTATTTATTGATTTATTTTCAATATCGTATCTTTTATCGTCATGTGAACGTAAGTGTAAAAGCTATTTTCACTTTGGTCAATAGGTTGCGTGACAAAACAGTTTCCTTCTTCTCACAAACTATGAGTGAATGATTCATAATTGTTTAACTTGATTTGGTGTATTTATCAAAAGAAAACACAAAATCATTGGTAAAGGAAGAAATTGGGCAAACCAAAATGTAAACACTGAAAATAAAAGTTGGTTATTTATTTTTCCCCGGAAAATTACAACCACTCTCTCAGGGCTCATATTTTCTAGAAGTAAAATTTTATCGAGTTTTGAAGATCAGATTCTTAAGTGTGGTATTAGGAGGAATAATCCTTTCAAAACGAAACACAATTTGTGTTTACTTTCAACCTCATTTTGGGTTTACAATTTTAAAAGATTATGGCAATTGCATTGCACGAAAGGCATTCAAAACATTAAAACGACTTCCTTTAAGACTTCTCTATTTTTTTAATTTGTGTGAAAGTTTATTTTAAAAAAATCCTCCTCTCCCTAAAAGATTTGGTAGTAAAAATTACTAACCTTTAGTTACATCAAAGTATTAGCATTATTTTATCATGGAAAGCAAGTTTTATTTAATAATACAGAGCTTGATAGATTAGGAAATGATACTGAGATCAATGTCAGTGCATTAAGTATTTCAATTTCATCCGTTTATTTTGAATTTTAAAGAACTACATAATACAAATTTCATGCTTGATACTAAATGTTTCACCTAGTATATATCTGCATTATTCAGTATCTCACTTATCTTTCATCAGCTGCAATGACATATTTAACTCAATTGATCAAAAGTGTAGAGATAAAAAGTATACACCACGCTCTCTTTCTCTCTATTTAAATCCACTTTCCTTAATTCGCCAACCAGTTCACTTTGACAAGTTTATTTGAGTGCAGCCGAAAACAAGTTTGGCAAATAAATTTTCTCACAGATAAATACTTTGTTTATTTTTACGTTTTGTGATGCTTAATTTTACATAGTCAAGTGAACATAAATTCTATTTTGTTAGAACCATTGGCTAAGGTATAACTCAATTTTTGGTCCAAATATTTAACGTGAAATGATTGAGCGGATCATATTTTCAAGAAATTATAAATAATCTCCAAATATTTTATTGATGATGCATATTTGAATAAGGCGCGCAGGAAACCAATTCTGTAAG